AAAAGCTCTTCCCTACTAAATTTCCAAAATAATCTTTCTTCCGTTTCCCACTTTCCATTGCTGCAAAGGCCCCAGCTATTCCCATTCAGCACCTGACCTGGGATGCCCAAACAGGGTTAGTTTAGCAGCCACAAACCAGTTCCAGCTGCTGGGGAGTCTTGTGTCTGCCCTTCGCACCTTGGCCAGGTGTGAGCAATGCAGGTGGGCTCATCATGGCGCCCTGTCCAGGGGCTGCAGAATCCACATCACCCCTACCCATCCCCCAGCCACAGTCAGGAAGAGCCACCTCCTGCCCTCCTCTTCCTCCACCTTCTGCCTAGGACAAAGGGGAAGGGGGAAGGGAGCGGGGTGCATGGGACCACCAGATGTTGCCCTTCCGCAGTCTGGGGCCAGGAAGTGATCCCAGCTGAACCTCCACCTGCACAAAGGCGGAAGTCACACTTTCCCAGCTGCAAGGACGAGATACATGCCGAGAGCTTGAGGGAATGGGTGTCTATTGTGCTTTGGTTTCCTTCTACCGCACTCTCGGTCCTTTCCCAGGGCTCTGATCCGGGTGTAGGCTGACAAACTGGGCACCAGACCTTGCCCTCCGGGTGCCATTGACACCCACAGAGCACCATAGAGCAGGGATGGGCTGACCCCGTGGCTGGGGCAGCACTGTACCCGGGCTCTCTGTGCCTCCCCAAGTGCACGACTCATGACTGAGCGCTGGTCCTAAAGCCACAGAGGCACGAGGGGTCGGTATTTCTTCCCACTCAGGTCCCTGCAGCGGGGCTGAGCTGGTCTCGAGTGAAAGGGCCATTTTGTTGGCCTGGCCCCCCTACACTGGTCACCTGTATTCTTTATGTGCCCCAGTACGAGCCCATGGTCCTCTCCAGTTACTATGGCAATTATGGCTCCCGAGTCAGCGCGGAAACCAAGCCTTTCCCACTGCTTGCAAAGGAAAATAGGAAACCTGGGCCATAAATTCCAGACCCAAGTGCAGTGCTCTGTGGTGCCAGAAGCAGCATGGCGTCTTGGAAAGAAGCAGGAACCAGGGACCTGGGAGAGTTTCCTCCTGCTCCCACCTGGTGTGACCCTGGTCTTGGCTCTCTTGCCTGCATAGTGGGGTCACCACACACTACCCCAACTGCTGAGGACCACAGAGGCATTCGTGTTCATGCGCCTACGCAACACACATTGCCCGGCAATCTGCCTCAAGCCGAGGGCCAGGGTCATCTGCTCCACTCCAGCCCTGCATGAGGCTTCTGTGTCAGCACCATTGCCTTCAGCTGAGGAAACTGGATCCAAAGAGAGTGGGCAGTTTCTTAGCAAGACCAAGCAGCTAGTAAGAAACAGCAGGGACCAAGCCAGGGGCTCAGGGCCACCCAAACCTGTGCTTCCTGCCACCAGCTGGAGACGGGCCCATTGGCACACGAGGCCCAGGCTGCAGGACCTCAGCTGTGTCCAGGTCGGGGACACTGGGGCCTAGAGAGACATCACTGCCCGGTCCCTCGACCACAAGCTCGTGACCACTCCAAAACTGGAGCTGAGTGGAGTCACCGGGGACAGCTGCAGCATCATGCCTTTACAAGGAACCCCTCAAAGTGTACGGCTGCCTCTGTCTGTCTGCAGCTGTTACCTAAGGGGAGGAACGCACAGCTCGGCCGCCTGCAGACAGAAGACCAGAGCATCCAGTGAAAATCGTGTCTCGGGTTCTGTGTTTCTTAAGATTTGCTTTCTGTTATAGCAAGGGGAATGGCTTCCTGTTGATGTATACATCTATATGGCTTCTTCTTTAAGGAAATGTGTTACGGTAGAAAGAAAAAGTTGGTAATGGTACAGTTAACATTTAGTTTTATTTAACTGAAAATTGCTAGACCAAAGCTGGGCATGGTGGTGCATGCCTATGATCCCAGCACGGTGGAGGCTGAGACAGGAGAATCCCTATGAGTTCCAGGTCAGCCTGGGCTACACAGGGAGACCTTGTCTCAGAAATACAAACAAAATGAACTGTTAAATCATGACTGAGGTGCTTTGAGTTCTAGTCCCGGCCTGGATGGGCAACTGGGTGCATGTGTCCTGTTGGACACCATAGCACTGGCTCAGTCTTCCCTGGACCCCAACCAGGGTGGTGCCCAGCATATGCAGCTGTCACACGTGGTCATGCTGCATGTCAGGTAGCACCAACTCTGGCGACGAAGCCAAGTGGCACTTGGCTTCCCTGATTCCCAGCATTACACAGGGACCAAGTGTCACTGACGCTGAGGCAGGACAGGGAGTGGGCCCTGCTCTTTTGTCCTCTGTTCCCTAGCCAAGGGCCTCTGGCGGTTCCCACTGCCTTCTCTGGGGAGGACCCTGCTGCCCTGTAGGATGCCCTGTTGGGTGGTCTGTTATGCCGACTCTGAGCCCAGCTCCCCTCCGCCTGGGTTTGACGGTCAGTTACTGAATGCTTCCTATGGCCCTGTGAGCCTATCATGAGCATTAGCTCATTTAAAGCCCATCGCAGCCCTCTAGGGGAGGAAGGTAGGTGCACCCATGTCACAGATGGGGAAACCGAGGAAGGTCCACTCAGGTCAGACCACGAGGGCACCGTGACTCTGGCTTTGGTGGACAGCTGGGGTTGGAGGAGCAGCCCAGCCCTGGGGTGGACAGAGGCCCGGTGTCCTCACACTGCAGCCCGGGAGCCTGGCATTGGAGTGACTCTACCCAGTGCCCCCTCCACGATGAGGCAGACAGCAGCTTTGGACAGGGCCTGACTCCGGCCGGACGCTGTGATGCAGACTCACCTGTGTTCCCTTCCCACCCTCTCGCCCTGGGCAAAGGTTGAAGTCTCAGAAACCCCCAAAGGAGAGGCACTGAGCTCCTCTCTTCTCCACCGGCCTCCCTGCTAAGGGCTGTGTGAGCTTAACCTCAGCCCCGCCCTCTGGCTTCATCTGAAAACAGCCTGACGTTGTCCCATGAAGGGTCACAAAACAAAACAACAAAACAAAACCACAGCCTGGGGGTCAGGCACGTCAGGCACCTCTCATTTCTGTAATCAAGTGTCCACCGAGCCTGCCTCGGGGTTGCCAATCAACCAACCTTGGCAGCTTCAGCATAAAGCGGCAGAATGGAGCTCTGTGACAAAGACCTAAGTATCTGCATCCAGCCCTTGAAGTGTCTGACCCCGCCCCAGAAGACTGGAAGATCAGGGAATGGATGGATGGAGGCATCTCTAAGGGTCCTATTGGACTTGAGCGTCTGAGGCTGTCTGGTGCTCATGGACCAGGGTCACTGCAGAGCCACCTTCGTGTCCCCTTCTGGACTGCAGGGGCACTCAGCGGCCGTGTAACCCAGAACATGTGCTGACCTCTTTAGTGTCACTTTCCAAATCTAAGGGCCTCACAAGCTTGGTGAAATCCTGAGCGATGCTAGGGGCAGGAAACAAGTGGCCTCATGTTTGGCGTATACAGAATGCAACTGGGGCTGGCAGTGCAGCTCGGGGTAGGGCGCTTGCTTAGCTCGCACGGCCCTGGGTTCCAAGACCACAGAAAGTAAAAGTGTTGAAGAGCATGCAATAGATGATACCTGTTGATATTTTAATCAGCTGCAGGGCCCTGCACAGCGTACTTAACCTTGCTCTGCATCCACTCCCAGGATGGGATGAGGATAAAACAGCGCCACCTTTGGTGATATTTCCAGGAAGATAAATGTTGACAAGCACGTGAAGTGTGGGTATAGGCAGCCTTCGCAGCAGCATGGATCCACCAGCACCAGCACGCGGATCGATCGCTCCAGCCCAACTTCCACTTACCCTGCACGTCACCCCCCTCCAGGAAGTCCTCTGCGACCTTGCTCAAGGGTCTTGGAGCAGCTTCACAACTGTACCCCCATTATCGTATGGCATGGTACCCCCACCACCTCCCAGGCATGGACTCTTCGGCCCTAACAGGATGTGGGCCCCCCCATCCCCTGACTGCACCCCCAGGGAGGGGTCATATCCACTCTCAGGCCAGCGGTGACCTCGCTTAGCCCTGGCCAGAGTCGCCGAACGAAGGGGAAGAGGGAGATGAAGGTGCAGGGCTGGATGGAGGTCGGGCATCCGCTTCAAACCTGCTGGGACCCCGGAGGTCCCTTGGGAACCTCAGTGTGTCTTCCAGTCCCATCTTCAGCCTCCTGCTCTGAAATGGGGGTAACCTGTCCCCAGGGCTGTGATTGGCTCCGAGCAGGGAAATGTTACCAACCCTTGGCCACACACCCCGCACCCACCTGCGCCCGGCTCTGCTACTCCCACACATCGGGCCAGGGTCCCGGCCCCAGCCCCATCCCGCCCCTGGGACTGGCTTCCAGCAAGGACTCTGTGGCTTCAGGCAAGGCTTTGGCTGTCTGCGCCCCTGGCCACATCTGTAGAGTGGGAGATCTGCCCTGCAGCAGCTGCTAGGTGCGGCTGGTGGGAGGGTGGTGCACAGGTCCAGGTCCTTCCTGGACCTTGCAAGGTGAGGAGAGAGGGCATCTGGGAAGCGCCTGTCTGGCTTGTGTGTTCAGTAAGGTGCCGGCTGCGCTGTGCCGCCAGAGCCCATGGGACCCCAGTGCCCGCCTCCTCAGGGCCTGGCCTGGCACAGCCAGAGCCAGAGAGCAAGGCTGTGCCTGTGGCCTGGGCTGGAGGAGACCACGGGAGGCTGTGACTTTCTCCTGATCTTAAAGGCCAGCCAACAGGGAGTTTTCAGGGTCTTTGAGAGCATTTTGGAGAAAAATCACGGCATTGTGAAAGCAGGAAGGAGTCAGACAGGCAGCCGAGTGCAAGTCAGCCGGCAGGAGACCAGGATAAGAGGAACCCAGCATGAGGGGCTAAGGACCAGGCTAACAGGGACGGGGTCCTCAGGTGGGGACAGGGATGGGGGGGCAGGCTGGGGGCAGGGATGAGAATTTCTGGCGCAGGGCAGGAGGTCAAGGCTGGACAAATAGCTCACTGTCAGACCCTGAAGGGCTGTGGATGCTCACTAAGTCCCACCTCTTTACCAAATTAAGGCCACACCCTCCCTATGACTGCTGGGGATCTGGAAGCAAATTCGCAAGTGCTATGGTGATAAAGAAAAAAACCAACTCACATTACCAGCAAGCTGAGCCACGCCTCAGAGTACTAATTTCCACTGGTTTTTGGTTTTCAGCTCTATAAATCCTAAATGTGCTTTTCATTTCATTTTTCCACTCTTTGAGGACATCTGTTTGACATTTACCTCATGGGGCAGGGCTGGGGTCGGTGCTGGGTAAGCTCCCTTCTGATGCCTGTGCTTTGGGAGGGGGGTGGCCGGGCTGCTGGCAGTGCCCACTCCGGGCTCCCGTGCCCGATGGAGGTGGCTGCATTTCCTGTTCCCGTGTGAAGGACGAGATCTTCAGGCCATGTGGGGCAGCTTCACGTGTTTCCAATTTATAGGTTCAGAGCAGCATGCTGTAATATGGATTTTTATAGACTTGTACAGTCAGGTTTTTTGTTTGTCCTTTTTTGTCTGTTGATAGGACTTCCTTTGCCTATATATTTTCCTTTTAATTTAGCTGATTTACATCAAACCTGGGCTCTGAGTAGGAGGTAATGCGCACATAAATGTCAAAGCAGGAGCTGGCAGTGTCGTCATGCGGCCCCAGGAACAGACCCTCATTTACATGAGCACCTACTATGTGTCAGAGTGGTCACCATGCTTTCCTACGCTGTCTCTTTTTTATTATTGTTTTCCTTTTTCTAAACGAGCTGGATGTGATGGCGCACATCTGTAATACCAGCACTCTGCAGGGTGAGGCAGGAGGATCGAGTGAGTTCAAGGTCAGCCTGGGCAACATAGTGAGTCTCTGTCTTAAAAAACAAAACAAAAAATTTTTTAAAATTATTTTAATTTTAAAAATCCAAAATATCTTTAGTGCTAATGATACAGTTTATGCTGGCTTCTCTTTTCAAAAGTCACACACGACAACACGAATTCAGTGGTCTGAGAACATTCAGCAATTGCTTATCCCAAAGGGACCGTACTTCTGGATCTATGCAATCAAGGAAGTATATAAACAAAGGAATATTGTAAAGATTTTCTAAAACTTGAATCATCCCTTCCACAGTGTTCTAAGGTCTGTGGCAGGGTCAGTTGAAGCAAAGGCCCTGCTCTGTCCGGAGCAATAAACATCCCGTGGATTCCACCCCGCCTCACTCCTTTAAACCCTTCCCACCTTGCAGCAAGATTCCTAGTCGCCGAAGCCTCCGCCACCCCGGGGCGCTATGACCGCAGGAAACAGTACCCGAGCAGGGATCCAAGGCGCTCCATCGAGGGCGTCTTCGGTCCCATACCTGGGGGTCCGCACAAACCCTGCAGAAACCTAGGAGGAGAGAGGTCAGGTGAGTGGACCCCACAGGGCATTTTCTGGAAGGGAAACGGCGCCCCCTGCAGGCGGAGGCCGCATGCACACTGCCCCTGGTGCCTCTACTGCCTCCTACCCAAGGAAACCTAAACAACCGTACAGGGCGGCCCCTCCCAGGACCTGCGCCCTCCTGTCCTAGACTTGGGTTCCCCACCCGTCGGACAGAAAGCAGGTTTCTCGGGCCTGGTACCCTCCCCCCAGGCCTCTCATAAGGGTAAATCCCACCAAGGACGTGGCAGTAGAAGTTTCTGGCGCTTTCTCTCCCCACTAAAGATTGCCCGGCTCTTGGGTCCTTTTTATTGAGTTAAAAAGCCAGGATTGTTTTTGGATGGGCTTGGCTTAAAGGCCTGGAAACTTGGTAACCTGAACTTCCCAGGTTTATAGACGGATCGTGTTGCTTGGAGAGATAAGGAGGGCTGGGTTTTTGCAAGTATTGAATGATTTTCATTTTTCATATCGGGCTGGGGGTGTCTGGGCCCTGCACCCTCTGGAACGACAGTCCCGGGTCCCCCTGGTCCTGCTTCCTGTGCAGGCAGTAGCCGGATGTGGCTGCTGGTGCATGGGGGAGGGGCCCTGGGAAAACTGGGCAGGGGCCTCAGGAGGGACCGTCCCTCGCCACGCCCAGGAGGGAGTGCGGAGGGCACAGGTCCACGTCACGCTCCAGGCCAGCCTGAGCTCCACAGTGAGTTCGGGACCAGCCTACACTACATAGCAAGACCCTGTCTCAAAAATAATAATGATAATTGAAAACAATGCTGCATGGACAGCTTATCCTTCCTGTGCCCTGCACCACCCTCGGACCACACGGGTAAAGATGCGGAGCCAGCAGAGCAGTGTGGGCACCCTGCCGCCTGCAGAGCCCTGGAAGGTAAGAGCGGCCTCCAATCTGCACGGCCTCGCCTCTCCTGCGGCCCCCATGCTCCTCGATAGGGGGACCCAAAGGAGCTAACAAACCCGGACCGGATCCCGCAGGAAGTGAGGGACAGAGTGAGACTCCATGGCCAGACCTGCGACCCTGTGTGCCCTACTCCCTGATGGAGTGGGTAGCAGCTCCTGGGGGAGGGGCCTAACGGACCAAAGGAGGGAGGGGCTCTGAGCCCCCACTGCCTCGCGTCGCCCTGTGCTAAGAAGCCCCAGCCTGTCTTCACCCAAAACCCAGCCTTGCTCTCCATCGCCAAGCTGCTGACTGGCGGAATTGAAGGGTTGATAAGCCCCTTGCCCCTCCCAGCCCCCAGAAGCCAGTTAAAGCGGATACACAAGTCGCGTGTGCTGGCACACACCTGTAATCCCAGCACTCTGGGAAGCTGAGGCAAATTCAGTCCTAGCCTGGGCAGCTGAGCAACTGTTAGGCTTGTGTCTAGATGTCCCCCCAAAGCCTCATGCGCTCACAGGTGGGGAGCCTCATTTTTCAGAGGTGCCTGGATCTAGTGTGTGATGCTGGGACTGATTCACGGTGCAGTGCTAGCCTCAAGGGCACTAGGATTAAGGGTGTGAGTGCTGCCTGCCTAGTAGCCTGGATAAGATGTAAGGGACAGAAGGAGCTGTGGCCTACCTTTGTTGCTTTGCTACCTTCTGCCTGCCATGAACTGTTTCTCCTCTGCAATGTCTGTCTGCCCTGCCACCTTGCCTTGGAGCCAGCCCATTATGGACTGAGCCCTCTACAAACTGTGAGCTAAATAACCTCTCCTCCTTTAACTTTGGTTGTCAGGTATTTTTGTCTCAGGAATGAGAAAGTAACTAAGACAGCAACTTCGCAAAAACCTGTCTCAAAATCTTTAAAAAAAAAATTGAAAGGGCTGGGGATCAGCTGTTCCTCTAGGTATCTTCCTGAATGAGTTAAAGACAGTGATCCATGCACACCCATGTTTATAGCAGCACAATTCATAATAGCTAAATCTCTCATAACAGCTTCTATACCCATCAACAGATGAATGGATAAAGAAAATGTGGTATTTGCACACAGTGGAGTACTACTCTGCCATAATGAAAGATAAACTTGATTCATCTGTAGGAAAATGGATGCACCTGGAGACCATAGTGCTAAACAAAATAAATCAGACATAGAAGATTATATATTGTATAGTTTCTCTTAACTGAGAAAACCCAATGGGTAAATAATTTAAAGAGCAAAATAAAAGATAGATAACAGGAAATGAAGATAGATCTTTTGCAAATGGGAAGGAGACCAGGAGATAGAGGAGAGGAGGGAGGAGAGAGAAGGGGAATTGAGAATTCAGATGTGCTGCGTGCGTGGACCAGGGACGAAGGTGATCATTATGCACTGGAAACATGTATAATAAATGTTTTATAAAAGTTTTTTTTTTAAAGAAAGAAATCAGACACACATACAAAAATCAAAAAGGGCTGGGGTGTGGCTCAGTGTGAAGGCCCCTGGGCTCAACCCCCAGTACTGCAAAACAAAACAAAAAATAGAAAGAGGCAGGACGCACACCTGGTGCCAAGATGGCAGATGCCCTTGGCCTTAGGAGCACTGCCATGGCGTCTCCGGCTCCGGCTCTGTCTTTGAATCCTGGGCGGGTGTGACGGGCCAGAAACTGAGCAGCAGCCACAGGGTGGGACTGCGGCCAGACAGGGCTCGCTTGGAGACCAGGGCGCTGCTCGAGCTGGCTCCGGATGTGTCAGGACAGTGGTGTCTCTCCTTTCCTTCCTCGAGGAGGTGAAATACAACCCCGTAATAACACTGTGTCCCTGATTTGCCCTGGACAAAAGTCAAACCTGGGATCTGATACATCTGAGATCAGCGTTCACATCTAATTGGACTTCACGGGCTGGCTGATTTCACATCCTCTGTTATTGTTGGTGCCGACAGAAGAAATGAATCTTTCAGGAGATCCAAGAAGAAATGAGTCTGTGACTCCTGGGAACTGAATACCCACCTATTTTACTTACTACAAAGGCGGCCTCTGTCCCACCCTTGAAACTTTGCAACAACAACAAAGTCAGACCCTGGGCCACCTTTTCACCAACAGACCTCATTTGCAGACCACCTGCTCCTCCTTCTCAATCTGAAAAACTCCTACTCACATGCCGAGACCCAGTCCAGAGGTGCCCATCTCTGAGACTCCCCAGTCAGTTAGCCGGGGCTATGTCCTGGTGACCAAAGATTGGATATGGTCAGCCCACTCCTAGCGCTCTACTTGACCTCCCCTGGTCCCTCTATGCCATGCCAACAATCCAAGGGCAGGAAAGTAATACCCTGTTCTCCTCTTCGTACAGTCCCCAGCACCCAGCAAGCACCTCCAGGATGTTTGCTGACTGAATAAATGATTGATTACCACATTCAGTTTTTCTTCTGATTGTAAATTAAAACAATTGTAGGGCCCTAAAAGTAGCATGAGGCTTGGGTGCCCACCGTGCTGTACGGAGAGGAGGTCTTTCATTAAGGAACCCTCTACCCTGCAAAGCAGGGACCTCCTGTCTAAGCCCCACACCCCCAGGGCCGCACCACTGAATGTTACTTTCGGTAATTAGCAAGGCTTTAGGGCAAAGAAGCCAACAAGGACAGCACACACTTTCAGGGGAGCTTTCACGAAAAATCCAAGCGGCTTTTCCCCCTGCTCCAAATGGTGGGGAGGGCACAGAATGCACACTTTGTCCACTGGGCTGCAGGGTGGTGGCGACCCTGTCTTCTCCTCTTGCGGAGCGGGGCTGGTTCCTCAAGAAGCAGCAGGCCCTGAGGCTGCAGCCCTCGTCTGCCCTGGGTCAAAGCCACAGCTAATTCTTCCCAGAGGCAGCAGTTTTGACATTGCAGTAGTTGGTTTTCCAGGGAGACAGAACCAACAGGACGTGTTTGTGCATGTACGTGAGGCCTCACACGTGTAAGCACAGCCATGAGCAAGGACACATTTTCTTTTCTTCTTTTCCTTTCTTTTTTTTTGGTTTTTTTCATACAGGGTCTCGCCATGTAGTTCAGAATGGTCTTGGACTCACTATGTAGACCAGGCTGGCCTTGAACTTGCTGTGATCCCCCTGCCTCAGCCTCCTGAGGGCTGGGATTACAGGTGTGTGCCACCAAGCCCGACTCTAGGGGACACTGTGTATACACGTGTCATTAGGCAATCTGTCATTGTGCACATGTCAAACAGTAATTTACGCCCTGTCCCAGGTACAGGTCAGTCCCTCTGTACGGCCACTTGATAGAGCCGAGCGATGAAGCACACAGCAGATGGACAAGCCTGCTGCCTGCGAAACACGGCAGACTCTTTCACAGCTTGTTTTTAATAAGGAAAAGGAGCACAGTCTAAAATGATGTCTAAAAGTCTAGTATGGTAAATAAAGAAACCAGTAACGTATGGCTTACTAGTATCAAGCATTACTCACTGTGCCTAATTGTACATGCCATTTGATATGACAGCAGCGGGGTAGGGGTGACCACCAGTGTGGCCAGACGCCAGGCACAGTGGGCTGCCGTATGATGTCACAGCGTCACTAGGCAGCAGTAATTGCAGCTCCCTTACTATCTTGCAGGACCACCGCCACATGAGTGAGTGTCTTTAGTGCCCTATTGTGGCCACCTCTGTGGCCTGAAGTCTCAGGGTGCCAGATTCGTGAATAATAAGGATGAGGACACAGCATTATGTTTTTATTTGACAGAAATTGCCATAAACATTTTTTTTTTGGTACTGGGGGTCAAACTCAGGTCCTTGCACTTGTGGGGCAGGCAGCGGAACCACTGAGCTAAATCCCCAGCCCCACCATAAACATTTTTAATTGATTCAGAATATCGAGGCAGCCACAAAAAGATGCCCAGGAATTCCAGAAGTGCTTTAGAAAGTGGCAAGAGGACAGCATAAGTGTGTCCAAAGCGAGGGGAGCATTCTGAGGGGGAATCCATGGCAATGTGACTTTGACTATAATATTTTTAATTTAAACCTTCGCTGTAGTTTTTTTGTGTACGGGGGGGTTTTTTGGTACCGGGGAGATCAAACTCCAGACCTTGCGCTTGCGAGGCAGGTGGTGGCACCATTGAGCTAAATCCCTGGCCCGATTCGCTGTAGTTTTTGATCACACTGCATATGGGTCTGCATGTGTATGCATCTCTGTATGTAACAGAAAAAGAGGGCGACTTTTTTCGATGTGTGATTTTATTACTGTAAATATACAGTAACAGTTTAAAAACTAGCCAGAGTATACAAATGATGACACATGTGAGTCTGCACCCCATCCTCCAAAGCAAAGCACTGCCCCACACTGAGGAGGAAAGGGCGTGCGTGTGCCCATGGATGGAGGGTGATTTCAAGGAACTAGATAAACATTGTTGCGGAGGTTTTTTGAGTCCAAAATCCCACAGGGAGGCCACAGGCATTGGACCCAGAAAGAGCTAATGCTCCAGAGCAGGTCCTCAGACTGTCTGCTGCAGAATTCCCTCTTGTTTGGGGGCATCTGTCTTTGTCCTACTTGGACCTTCCACTGATTGGGCGTGGCCCACCCATTGTAGACATGGCCGCTGCTTTATCCCAATTCCAGTGACAGAAGTGTTTAGTTCATCTCCAAAGAAAACACCTTAGCAGAAAGACCCAGAGGAATGCTTGGTTAATATCTGGGTGCTGTGACCCAGCCAAGGTGACAATATTAAGTTAGTCATCAAAAGGTCTGAAAAATGTGTTCTATTCTCAGATGTTTCTCTCTCTCTCTCTCTCTGAAAGATCAAGGTGAGCGAGATGCATCAGCTAAACATTTCCACCAGCCAGGCACAAGGTTTTTGCCTCCCTGCCTTCCTCCTGACACTTCACACTGCCCAACTTTCCAGTTTGTATGTGTTCTGTGCCAGTTCAATGGGCACAAACCAGCACTTCCTTTGCTGGGCATGGTGGCACATGCCTATAATCTCAACACTCAGGAGCCTGAGGCAGGAGGATCACCAAAAGTTTGTGGCCACAGGACCACTGGGCCCACTGGCTGCCGTTATCCAGATGTCTGTAGCGATGATGGTCATCCCCAGAAAGGCACTAATAATATCTCAATAAACGCACATACCACTGGTCCTCCCTGTTTACCAGCCGGGGGCTCAGCTCCACGTGCACACCT